GTCTATTAACAACAATTTTAAAACCAATTGCTTTACTAGGTTTACCTCAACCATGCAGGACATGGCACAGTGGCTTACAGAGGTTTCAAAACTTGGCCCTGTCACTGTGCATATATATTCCACAGTATATCAATGTTACTGCTACCACCACTACTACTATGACTGATCCTCTGTCTCACTGCTTTGTTCTCTGGCATAAAGCAACCAGACTCACCAGGGTGGATGTTAAAATCTTCCAGAGGCACTGAGCTGGCTATCTGCCCAATGTGCTGCAGAACCTCCTCGTCCAGTCCTGTAGGGAGGCAGCTCATGCTCTTGGGCTCTCCCTGCGCTGTGAAAAAATCTGCAGAAAGCAACACAATCACTCCATTGGGGAAACAGAAATTACTCACAAAAACAGTAAATAAAACATTAACTTAAAAACTAACTATAATTTTCATGGTTAACTCACTTTTTTTTCTAAGTGGATAATTTACCTGGCCATGGGGAGTCGAGCCAGTGCCGAATGTGTAAGATCTTTTCATCTTTAGAGCTGGTGTATGCCTCCTCACATATTTTGTCATATTTTGCAACTTCTTCCTGCAAATACATTTTTGTAATAATAAATGCTACAATTTCCCTAATGCTGACTAAAGTTTGCTTTAATCACAGACCTTCAGCTGACTAGCCTAAACAGTGTGTAGCAGTGATATAGTGATATAGAGGGGGAAAGCCTCCAGAAGCATTCGTGCCTTTGCTATATATTATAAATGGAGTGTGAGTCCAAATAGCAGGCCTCACAACACAAAGCAGTGTCCATCAAAAGCCAGAAGGAAGGAGCTGTAGTATTACTCTGCCATGTGATATATAAAAAAAAAAAATCAGAATGGATGTTATGGTCAAAGTTTCTGTTGTGGATGAAAAACCTCTGCAATTGCATTGAATGACGACAGAACCGCATACTTTAACTTCACTGGGCAATATATACTCTATGTGAGGGATTGTGAGGCTAGATGACTGAAGTGAGGCAGTAAATTGAAACTCAAATACAGCTGTGCTAGCATAACATATTTAGTTGAAGGCTAGGGTAATATCTAAGTGTGATTTAATGCACATAGCCCAGCAGATGGTGATATACCAAATAAAACTGCATACAGTAGCAGCAGCAATATACAGTATATTTAACAAGAGAAAACACTACTAGATCACAAACCTCAAATTCCTGCAGTGTCACCACTCCCTCAGCAATGAGTTTTTCAGAGTACTTTTTCAGCACATGCTCCTGCCGATGGATCTGTTTGTACATCAGCGGCTGGGTGAACATGGGCTCATCCATTTCATTGTGGCCAAAACGTCTGTAACAAACCTGCAAAAACAGACACTTTAAAAACAAAACTGCTACACATACGTAAGAAGCTGTTAATCTATTTAGACTCGGCTGCGGCTGACCAGGTCAATGACGACATCCTTGTTGAATGTGGCCCTCCACTCTGCAGCTACGCGGCACACATACATGACAGCCTCGGGATCGTCCGCATTCACATGGAAGATGGGCGCATTGACAACCCGAGCCACGTCAGTGGGGTAGGGAGATGAGCGGGCCACTCGAGGATCTGTAGTGAAGCCAATCTGACAACAACCACATGCCAAAATTGAGTACACTAATTTTGCTTCATTTTATGTAATACAATTTAACACACAGACAACAGGAGACAGACAAATTATTTTCCAGATATTTTTTAATAAGTGGGATTGTACTTAAGTGATGCCAAAGTTCCAATACCTGGTTGTTGACCACCACATGGATTGTACCATTTGTGGTATAAGAGGGGAGTTCACTCAAATGGAACGTCTCATAAACAACTCCTTGTCCCGCAAAAGCAGCATCGCCGTGCATCAAAATAGACATCACCTTAAAAATCACATTATAGGCTTAAAGGAAGCATTTTGCTATCATTTTTTAGACAGTAAAAGTATTGCGCAAAAGTCTTGAGCTACCCGTCATTTCTTTATATTAATAAACCTCTGTGCAATGTGGGGGTATTGAATGTTTAAATATACAAATATATGAGACTGTGGGATTTGTATAAAATATTTGTATATACTGTAGAGATGTCACTCACGGGCTCTATGTCTCAAATGAAGACCCACACATAGCACAGGGGTTTACTAGTATAAGGAAATAAAGGGTGGCTGAACACTGTTGCACAATGCTGTATCTGGTACAATAAGGGTTACCTTCTTTCCTTGAGTGTCTCCTCTGTAGAACTGCTCTGCTTTGGTCTTTCCCTGAACCACTGGATCCACTGCCTCGAGGTGCGAAGGGTTTGCCACGAGTGACAGCGTGATGTTCTTGTCAGTCTCACGGTTAATCCTCTCGTGGTACATCCCCAGGTGGTATTTGACATCACCCGAACCCTACATGCATAAAAAAATGGAGACTGAATAAAGCGTTGGCTGTAAGTCCAGACTTATCTTCTCTGAGAGTTTTCCACATATCACCTCATCAGCAGCCTCTAATTTGGGGTCAAACTGACAAAAGATCTGATCCAGGTCCTTACGGATCACATTAGCCAAGACGTTCAGTCGACCCCTGAAAGTACAGTTTATATATATATATATAAACAGAAGGAAAAGACTTAGCTTTAAAAAAAAGACTGATGTAAGAAATGAGAAATGCACATTACCGATGTGGCATCCCCATGATTACGCTGTCGATCCCTGCTGCGCTTGACTTGTCAATGATGGTTTTAAGAGCAGGAATGAGAACTTCGCAGCCTTCCAGACCAAAACGTTTCTCCGATGACCACTTTCTCGCCAGGAAGTCCTCAAACCTAGACACAATAACAGATCTTAACAGATTTCATATATGGACCACAGATGCTTGTGCTACTAACAGGTAGCTGTGAACAGCTGGTTATACAAAATATACTGGTTCTGACTGATGATAGCATATGCTCCATTACAGTAATTTATTTTTAGAATAATACTATGATGCCTTAAATACCTTGTACTCAAGCATTTAGAAAATGCATCTCACTACCAGTGTGTGTGTGTGTGTGTGTGTTTGTCATCAGAACAGGATAGCGACAACAGAATAAAACAAGCAAGGATACAATAAGACATATATTCACCCTAGCGAGATCATTTTAAGGACCCTGCAGTGACTTCTGAGCTAATTTATTAAAGATAAAAATGAGCTCACATGAAGAATAGGGTGTGTTAACTTCCTATTTTGTTTATGTTATGTGAGTCAGTGTTGTGAGCTATAACTGGAGGTGAGGTATTGCGCTGTCACCACAGTGTGAATTTGTTTATTCACTGCTGACCGTGTGGATCTGATCAGGCGCGCTAGCAGAGTTCTCTTCTCAGCATTAGTGAACTGCATGATTCCCGGAGTCTCGAACTTCTGACGAATCCACTGACACTGGTTCACATTATTAATGAACATAAATTCAACCCCTATGTGACCGCAGTAGGATGCCTGAAAGCAAAAAGTTGCAAAGTAAAAGAAATGCACAGAAAGGAAACAACATGACAGCTTCTCCTGTTCATCGGAGACACGTATGTGCAAATACCTCTAGTCTGCGTATGATTTCTTTAAGTGGAAGGGTAGCCTCTTGTCCACCGATGAAGGTGGTGTGGGGCAGCTGGAAGCTTCTATCCAAGTCAGACTCATCAAGACCATATAAACCTAAAACAAAACCACATGAAACAAATATCTAATTAAGACTCTTAAGAAAGGCACAAGATATAATTTACTGACTCACTTTGAGCACATGCTCCAAGCTTAAACAAAATACTTTCCACCCAAAATTAAGTGAATCTATTGCAATTTGTGTCCCACGTCACTGCAGACAAAGGCCTATACCCTATAATGGTTTTTAACAGGGATTAAGAAAGGAATAATCAATGACCTGGCAATTGAGTGTTGATCAATTTTCAGATCAATTTTCAGTTTATTGGAAGAATTAAAGTCCTCCCACTTTTTTTAATATCATGTAAGAAGAAATCGTAGTAAAGCGACCCAAAAAAATTATACAAATACATATTTAAAGTGTCTGATTCCATAAATTTCTCTTGTTGCTGTGGTGAGACTAGTTGAATTAAAAAAAAAAAAAACAATCTTTTTTTCTTTGTTTTTAAATGTGAAAAAAATGACAATATTTAAGTTTTAATATTTACGAGGTACTCTTATACTAAAGTTAAAGATTGAATGTATATGTGTGTGAAGCTGCATGTACATATGTGAAAGCTGTAAATACATAAACAACTCAGAAGACAAAGAAAGAAACAGAAAAGATGATCTTGTGTGAGCAATGTGAGCTACTTTCAGCTATCACTTATTCACAAGGGGTTGCCACAGCAGGTAGCTCTGCATGTATTATTTGGCAGATTGTTATGCTGGATGCGCAACACCCAAAGGTTTTGTGTCTCACGATGTGAGTAAGGTAAAGACCAAAAAACCATCCATCTATTTGTTTTCCGCCTATCCAATTCAGGGTGGGTGGGTGGGTGGGGTGGTTGGGGGTACTGAAGCCTATTATCCCAATCGTTACAGGGCAAAACTCTGGGTACACCCTGGACAGATTTCTAATCTGTTGCAGGGCTAACACATAGAGACAGAAAAACATTCATGCAGGAAGAAGCTGGAGTACCCAGAGAAAACCCACACATACGAGGGGAGAAGATGCAAACTTCCCACAGAAAGGCTTACCCTATTCCTGTGTATTTTTTCACCTCCTTGTATAATCTCTGTCTTTTCAGGTGCATGTTTATCTTACATCTTAATGTGTCACTACTCAGCTGGTGTAGTCATTAAAAGAAGCAAGACAGGCACTGGTTTCAGTTCAGGGCAGAAGTTTCAACGGGTTAAGGTGAAGGGGAACAGGATTTCCACCGTGATTGAAAAAAATAATTGCAACGATGGTTGATACATTAAAGGAAGAAACTACTACTCCTCTAAAATATTGTAACTGTGATTGAAAAGAGGCAAACAAAGGATGTTAGATGGAACGACTGAGCAAGAAGATATGTGGCGCATATCTCAGGTAGGTGTATATATTACAGCTTATGACGTAGTCATGGTAATGAATTATTCAACAATTAAAACAAACTGAAAAACTATACAATCATTTATTGTTAAAGCCAATTACCAACCATTCAAGCACATTAATGCATTAGTAATGATTTGCTAATTGTATCTAAGTCATGCTAATGCTAATTAAATATGCTTGGGTTTAGAACTGCTAGTCAGTCAAAACAAGCAATCTAAAGACATCCTATCAACCTATGGGGAATTGTAGTGCCCATTTTTCACATTTTATAAATTAAATGATTCATTGATCTATCAAAATATAATAAGCAAATGATTAATTGCTAATGAAAATAATGATTAGCTGGTCTAAATGAGATTGCAGAGCCCCCTCCAGCATGGCTTGCTAAGAATTAACTGACAAACTTCAGAAGTTTCATCTGAGATGATTGGTTTGATGGCAAAGACTTCAAAAAAAATTGAGTAGAAAATAAACAATAATACACTATAAATTTATAGATAGTAATGTAGAAGGGCCCATGGATGTAGTGGCCCCACATACAGGTACAATAAGGTTCTGTGGTAACAAAACCCACCTGAGAGAGCTGGTCAAGCTCAAGATTACTGGCAAACATAAGAGGAGACAGGTGCAAATCATATTAGGAACACAGCAAAGACAAAGGGGGCCAAGAATAGACTTGTGTACAATCAGCCGACCAAATAAGGGGCCATGGAGGCTGTCATTAGCTTTCATTAGGGAACTATAGCCCTGGTGATCATACATAATGCGATGCTATGTCATGACTCTCACTGATCACTGATAACACCAGCCAACAGAAACAACGTCTCTCTTTTCCTCCCTCTCACTCGCTCGCTCTCTCTCCTCCTTACTATCTATTCCTGTAGACTTCGATCGCTTTCTGTGGCCATCCCACATCCTCCGACCCTCAGTCCGCTAAATGAAATGGAGAATGACAAGAGCTCAGCCTGAGATTAATGACAGCATCAGGCTGACCAACCAGTATACAGACTTGATAGAGGACGTGATAGGTGCTTTGTACTGAAAAACCACATCCACTCATCAGTGTGATCAGTTATATAACCCTTGATCTTTAATGTAAGTGAAGCTGTACATGTATCTACTGTAAAAAATACAAAAATGCAAAAATGTTGAAATATGGTCCAAGAAACAGTCAAACACAATATTGTCACTATAAGCAAGGTAAGATTAAGCTTTTGAGACTGAAATCCTAAAACATGGGAAGCATCTTTAGAGTTAAATACAAGGGAAGATTTCTATAGTAGGATACTCATCAGCATATATACAGCCTCAGGGTTAAATCCATATATATTTCATCAGATGGGGTCTAAAACAAGGAGTCCCATACAACTTCCTCTTCAAAGCCTAAATCAGACATGACTCAAATGACTAAAAGAAAGCATCTCACCTAATTTATCGATAGTGGTGATCAGGTCGGACGGAACAAAAGAGTCAAGGTCAGCATCCAGGATTCCTAAAGGGTCTAACTGAGCAACATGGTGACCACGGATCTAAACAGAGAGACAGATGGAAATGTGCAGTGGGGGTGAAGAAAAGATAGAGAATTAGATTTAAAAAAAATAAATGAGAGAATCTGACAGGCAGAAAAAAATAATAAGCAATTTGGTTTCCATCATCAAACTGAGTATGAACAGCTGGAGAATAAGCTAACACTCAGTTATAGGTCAACCTTTCAGAGAAAAGATACTCCTGGGAGAGCTTTTATGTCTGTGTACACACACAGACATAAACATTTCCACCAGGACTGCAACAAGCTGGGAATAAAAATGACGCCTTTGCCAAAAGACTGAATTTAATAAATCCCTTGGATAGTTCCTTGAATTAATTCGAGGGCGAGTGGAAATGTTACCACCTGCTTTGTTTAAGTAGTCTCTTTGATTTTTCCATTTTCAAAAAGCAGTCAGGGTAAGTAGGCTGGAGTTAATCTTGCAATTTGCATAACCTCGTGCAGTGACAAACAAGTTGTATATTCCTTTTAATACAAGGACACGCAGCACAAACAGCTTTCTTTGCCAATTGCATCTGCTTCTCCAACTCCAAGCGGAATCTGTTTGATGTATTTTTCACATACTCGTCAGAGATGCAAATAGTCAGTTGCAGCTCGAGATGGATGACATCTTAATTCCATACACAGACACTGCCTTAAGATTTAAATGGATGGCTATGAGACTTAATTATATCATAAATCAGCATCACATCAAAATTAAATGTCTGTATATCTATGTGTGCGCGTGTGTGTGTGTGTGTGTGTGTGTGTGTTATCCTCACAGCTGTGCCAGGTGAGTGTGGCCTACCTGGTAAGCTCTAATGAGGGTGTGCACAGCCAGGTGGTCCTCCACCACTTTCTCTGCCACGTCTAGTGAGTGGGACAACACTCGGCCCTGCAGCAGAGCAGAGGGACGTCTCTCATCCGCCTCGCCAGATGGACCGGAGGCCTGGATGTTATGGAAGAAACTGTCCCAAGACTACAGCAGAGACACAGACAGATCCATCAAAGGAACGCTGGTATATGTAACATGATTATTCAGTGACTAGTGAATGCTTGGACATGGGTGACAGAATAGGGAAAAGCTGGATGAGAATCCAGGACAACATAACTACATCAGATGCCCCAGGCAGCTGAACTAAGAATAACATAATTTAACAAGAAAAACCTTAGTAAGGTCAGGGATATTCAGCTGTATTTCAAGACCAGCACTGGCACCAGCTTGCAATTTGAGTAACTTCTGCACAAATTCTCTAGGTGTCATAGTTTTCTCTTTAATTTTTCATTTATGGAAAGGTATATAGAACCGACCTTTTTTCTGTGTAACTTAAGATGCAGTTTGTGCTACACATTGTTACCTCGTGGACGTTTTTATGGTCATCCAGCCATGTCAAATACATCTCCTCCACATAGCTGGAGTTGCTGACCACTGCTGGAAGAGGATCAGTCCTAGAGGAGCAGCCTCTCTTTGGATGAGCCCAGCAGCGCCAGGTCAGCCCTCCCGCACGCCATCGAAGCAAGGGGCTCCCTCCACCTTTCAGCACACCAGCTAATACCCGAAACTGACTCATCTAAAAAAAAAAAAAAAAACTAAAAAAAAAAACTAAGATAACACTAAAGGTTAACACAGACATATCACGCAGGAATGTGAACATTACACATCTAGAGCTGAAATTTTTACCGCAAACTGAATGGGACATTTTTGTAAAAATCCCAGATAGACTGAAACTCATCTGTGTTTGGGAAAAGCGCAAATCACACCTAAAGGGACTACGTTTGCAACACAGGGTGGTTTTAACAGTTTGCACTGAGTTTCACTGAGATCAGCCTGAAGAAACAGTCCGTTTCTGCGTAGAACGTGTGCAGCTGCAAAACGCGAACAGCCCGTATGACGCTCCACTAAGTGCTGCAGTATGTGACCGACTGCTTCATTCTTCCTCACCTTTTTCCTGCATGACTTATTTTTGTTTCCTTCACTCAACATCGCAGGCATCAGTATCAAAACATTTTATATTTCATTCTGCGACTGTTCCACTTTCGGACCTCTAATCTCTCACCAAAATAAATCCTCATAATCTCCGCTCGTCCCTGACACTGCTCAAGCGCAACACGGAACAAAAACATACAGGGTTAAAATGTCACCTGCCTTTTATTTCTATAAAGTGCCTTTACCTTAGACTGCACTGTTCTTTGGCTTTACTGTCATCGCCGAAAGGTGCAAGTGGGACAGGTATCAATGAAGGTGACACAGATCCGAGGACAAAAGCAGCTGCTAGGCACGCCCCCTCGGTGTCAGGTGACGCTTCTCCGCACAGAGACAACTTGCTGCACCCAAAGGTGCCTAGGTAGCGACCTAAAATATCTGTTCATACAGAGGATTTAAAAAAGATAATTAAAAACAAATAGATGTAATCAAATAAGCATATATAGCATATATATATAGCAACCCTATTAGTTCTTGTGTTTGTGCTGTGAACTCAATTTTATAATCAGAGAACTTTCCTCAATCCTGTCACTTCAGGCACACGGTTAACATCCACCCAAGTAATTTTTCTTTCTAAGATGCATCACACATATGTCAGTGTTAATTACATAAACCAATTAAACTTTTATAAAGGCTGAACACGAGTCATTTGATCAAGGGCTTTCAGATTGATGGGCTTCTACCTTGAGTGGGTTAAACAATAAAATAATTGGCCTTCCTTCCCACCCCTTCTCCCTCCCTCACCCTCTTTCCTTCCCCATTTCTAAACCCGCTCTCCTCCTCATCTGGATTTTCATCTTTCATACTTGCTGCCACAGAAGGAACAGTATTATCAATCATGACAAACACACCACTGAAAGGGGGATAATGGAGTGAGCACTAGTCGCAAGAGGATCAAGCAGACAGAACAGGGTAGGTCTAAATATCAGAGCATCGCTAATCACAGCATCCCCGTTTTGTTGTTTTAAGCTCCTTTTAATGACACGAAAATGTCTCTTTCTTAACACACTTCATATAACAATGTATCAATAATTCTCAACCAGCAATAAGGCTCAGTGTCTCCTGAGAGTTTTTTTTCCCTTTTTTCTGTTATTTGCATTTGCTTAACATTTGAGTTTGCTGCTGCTCTGCAGGTGACCCGGACTTTGCAGGGTCAGGCAATTATGAACTGAAATGCCATTTTGTTGCAGTGACTTTGCCGCCTGACGGAGATGGAGTGAAGACCAGTTGCTTTTTGGCACGTTATTATTAATGTTCATTGATGAAACGACCTGTGCCGCTGGGTAACATTACAAGCTCGATGTTAAATAACTTCCCGTTTAGAATGATTACATCACCACACTGGGCAAAGCCGGAGCGGCTGTCTGTGTCTGCAGTGGTGAAAATCAGAAAGGAGCGAATATTCCATAAACTCCCATTTCTAGTGACATATAAAGATTAATTAAAAAAGGGAAAAGAGAAGAAAACAAAACAGTCTTAATATATCATAATTTCTGTTGACTAAGGTTATTCATTTGCAGGATCAGCCTGCCAAATTCAGTCAATGTTTAGTGTTGTTTGATTAAATCCAGCAGGCACCAGCAACCTGAATACTGTTCACATCCAGGTAACCCACGCTCACATCGACAGTTAGATCTGCTTAACCAAATTAACTTTATGCGTGAGTCCGCAGCCTGTTTGGGCAATGCAGGGCTCAGTACAAAGAGCAGAAGAAGCAGATAATGTGTAATCCACTTACCCCAGCCAAGCCTACACACCATTTATGGAAGTCCACGTCATGAGGTTATTTAGGAGCCCTAATTCATCTAATACAGCATGTTTGAAGGCGGAATTTAATTTTTCTGAAAGCCCTAGGTACACGTGCTATCACAAAAATCAATCAGATGATTAAATAATGTATGATTTCATGAAATTAAGTGACAGTGAAGTGCAGTGCCAAGACACTGTTCCAAACTGGACGAAGCCCAGAGATTGCAGCAAAATCTGTTATTTTTGATGGATAATTACATTACCCTGATGTATAGAAACTACATAATGTTACACTACAGAACGACCTCTTTAAAGAATTTTCGGTTCAATCATCGCGCCTAAATTTCACATTGTGGCGATCACTTTAGTCAGTGAACCGTGTGTATTTGAGCAGGGAAACGCAACGCAGAGCAGAGAAATACATGTCATACTTTTATTAAGAAATTTTAATAAAACGTACAACCTAAAAGCCTAAATTACAGTTCTATGCAATACTCACAGGCTTTAATGTAACCAAACCCATTAAATAGAATCCACACTGCCAATCAGAAAACACAGTAAATAATAGAAAACGTGATCCCCAAAATAAATGTTGTGTAAAAACATTAACAAAAATATTGTTCGTGCCATTTTAACTTTATTTAATCCCCCTGTATGTAGCAAATGAAGTTGTTCAGAGTAAAATGAAACGTCTAGACTGTGAGCTTAAATTTCCTGTATGTTTAATTTGAGATGATTTACATTACTAGTGATTATTTTGATTGTTGTGATCCATAGTAAAATATGCCTTAAGGACAATATGTATGTTACACTTCGGTATCAGACAGGATATAAAAGAGCAGCATATATTTGTAGAATACTTGATAAATAAATGTTACCCATGCATAGACTACAGAATGGCATCTCATTCAGGCACCTCACCATAGCCCGGGTACAGTAAGTAGAGAACAAAACTCATCCAGAAAGTGTAGCAAACACAATACAAGACACGATAACCAGGGAGGATTATCATGTCCTGGATTATCAATGGTGAAATTTGTTCACAATCATGCATATGATGAATATTTGGGCATATTTGTATTTAGTGTGTAATAAAAACAAAAAAACAAACCCTCCACATTACATCTGGACTAAAGAAAGAACAGCAACCAGGATTTACTATTGCTATAAGTCTCTGAAAAAAGTCACCACATTTGGTGCCGTACTATGAGATTCCTATAATACCACCAGTGAGAAAGGCAGAAATGTGTTTTGATAGCTTGCATGTTGGGATCACAAACTTAAAGGGTGTGTGTGTGTGTGTGTGTGTGTGTGTCTGTGTGTGAGAGAGAGAAAGAGAGAGAGCGAGGGGAAAACAAGTGACCGTAACCACAATACTAAGGGCACACTGCCTCTTTTTCAAAGTGTGAAAGGAGAAGGGAGGTAAGATTAGGTTACAGTTGTTTTCCTGTTAATGAGAGTCTGAAGTCACAGGAGACATCCCAGAATCCTTAGCAGTGTTCAAGGTGTCGGAGGCTGCTGGGGAAGAGACTGTCTCATAGATGAATCTGTAGAGGCTGACGTCAGGTCGTGTCGTGCGGCAATTCTTGCACACCTCGTTGAAGTACTGGTTTAAAAGGTCGTACAGCTGCCCTGTGAGGGTAAAAAAGGGTGGTGGAGAGAGGAGAAGAGAGGTGGAGGAGAGACAAAAGGGATGCGGTCAAGAAACATGTAAGGAAGACGGGATTTAAGAGAATAGGACCAAAAGCACAAACGAATCGTGAACGAGAGAAACACAGACACTCAAGCAGGTAAGAAAAAAAAATGAAGGTGTACTCGGGCTCATTTATAAATCAAGCGCACATACGCACTCACATACTGCAACCTCCCCCTCCCCACCCCCCCACCCCGTAGCTCCACTTTAGGAAATGGATGGCTAGAGGGGAATTTCTCTGAAAGGCTTCAATAAATGTCAACAGAAGAAAAATGAAAAGAGGGGGAGGGAAGAGGCCGGGGCCAGTTTAGGCAGTAATCCACTCTGCGGCTCAGGCTGAATGGATGGGCTGAGGAGCGGGGAGATGGCCCATATGGTAGAGTACCTTAACATACCCATGGAGTGTGTGCTGTTATTTATACACACAGTCCTGTAATGACACCAAGAAGGAAAACCTCCTTGAGGTGCAAAAGCAAAGAGTTCCTGTTTCTAATAATTCTACTGAGTGACCACAGCTTAGCCACAAACGTCTTGTGTGTGAATCTTACCAACGGTGACCCGACTCTCGGTGAGGAAAGTGTGCATTTCATGAACATCTTTCATCAGCTGAGCATCTCCAAATGTGAAATACGCCACATCTCTCCCAGCCTCTGCTGCTGCCATGAATTGAATCAGCGCTGAAAAAGAGAGAAGGCGAATTTCAAGACGAAAATTCAGGCGACAACATTCACTCCATTGGTTCCAGAATAAAACTATAAAGGTGTAATTGAGCGCTGAAAAGCATGACAGACTAAATAATTGGTCAATAAGCCAGATAACGTACAGCCTGTGGCATAAAAGAACATGAGTGGCAATTTGTATTAGTGGAGTAAATAATCCAGTGTTGGTAGAATAGCCTCGTAAACAGCATTCAGTCTCTGAGCTCTTGCAAATTAGGTTTCATGATTTTTAAATATTTAACAGAATGGTTATACAGTTCAGATTAATGACATCATTTGCAAAAGCTCTGTAATCTTTACTTCAAAATACCCGCCTAGTGTTATGTAAATACCACATCTCAAGTCAGCTCCTGGACTTTCATGTAAAATACAGTTATTAGCTTCCAAAAATACTACCTATGCTAACACTGGAGCTAATGGGCGGGGCCCCCCCGGAAGCTAATATCATCCTTGGGGACTATGTGAAGTCCAGGGGATCTATTCATAGCATGCTGCAGAGGAAATTAGTAGCTTCCGTTTTAAATCCAACTGTCCAGAAGCACAGCCTTAAAGCACTGATGTGCACAGCAAAAACAGGGTACATGCGCCATGAATTTAGGCATACAGAAAACTCTGCACATCCAACACACAATTGGCCAAAAAACAACAGTAAGGGTCTCCCTGCTTATGAAGACTGATGTTGTGTAAGCCAACGGAGACCAGCATCAGCTGGATTTATGGTCATCTTTCTCTGTAATCAATCGCCCATTTAATGGAAAACATAAATGTGTCAGATGATCTATAAAAGACTGAAAAGGGACAGGAGAGTGACACCCTGGGAGAGCTTCTAATTGACTAGAGAGGCTTGAGAGAAACAGCATCTTGGAAATTGTGGTACACTATTAGCTACATAAATGCTGAAAGTCCTTCAGCAGGGGCTCTACTGACTGGGAGATGCCGTGATCAAGTCGGAGCTACTGATATTCACTGCAATCTTGGGAATCCAGCCTTAAAATTTTAACGTAAGAAATGTGACACAGATGCTAGCCTAGTTTATAGATTTTGTTGCCATAAATCATCCAATTATACCTTTGAGCCGTGTGTCTCCGCCAAAAGCTCCGCAGCCCCAGTTGCCTGTGGCCACCGCAGAGAGGTGCTTCCTGTTGGCATTATTTCGATGGAATCCGCAGTATGCCTGGAACGAAAACAAAAGAGGGAGAAGGATGTAAGAGTGGGGAAGACAAACAAACAGTACAGTCTTTTCTATGATCTCTCAGAGTCTATTAAAATTAATTAAAATCACATTAATGTATAATGTGGGGGCAAGTGTTAACCCTCAAGCTGAACCATAAGCAAATATAAAAATATGCAATAAAGTATTTACTCGACTGAGAAGAGAAAAAAGTCTGTTAACAAAGTGCATAATATATCTTTTTCTTAGTCATGTGGAGAAAAAAACTGCAGTAAATTGGGAGTAATACTATTGAGAGTTATGTAGTATTTAGCAGTTGAGTGGTTTTACATATCACTTAGATTTTAGCTGCTGTACCAGACAAAATGTCAAAGCTCATGGTTGTGAACATTTGATCAAAAACAATATAACATCGGCCGTGTTCAGCACCATCGCACTGACACCTTTAAAAAGGTACTACAAATTAGAGCAGTACTTTATAGGTTTCTTGCCACCTTTCACAAACACACGAAAAAGAACCGCTGAACTAAATCTTCCCTCACCTTGTTGAGTTCTCTGGTCATCTTCTCGGGGAGAAACTGTTCCAGGAAGTGCCTGTATTTAAGAGCATCAATGGCCACAATCTCTGTACATCTTCTCTGCCAGTCATCCCTGGAAATGAAAGAAAGATTTTACATTTAAAACATCAGCACAAGTACCAACAAACACAAAAATGATCCTATGGAGGGAAGAGAAAAAATTACCTGGGTGTCTCGTCTTTGTGGATACCCACCCATTTGTAACTCTCAGCATAGCCAGAGTATTTACTGTATTGTTCAGCTCCTGCAGTATAAGACGAGGGAAATACGATATTACTAATTGCTCAGCAGTCAAAGCACACTGCAGGTTCTAAAATCAAATTTAGCGCTTTCTATGCTCCACATGAGCATACAGAGTATCAGCTTATATTGAATTGTCATGAATAAAGCCCACTGATTTAATAAGTAATCTGCTATGGGGTTTTAAATGAAAAGCTTTGAGCTACAACTGGGAGAAAATGTAAGAACAGAACAAGCAAAAATTAATTACTGACACACCCGTGTTTTTAAGAGATTGAGTCCTTTGTAACACCTAGGGTTATGTCCTAAGGGTTAGAATAATACACCTGTGCTTCTTTCTGAAAAGGCTGCCCCTTAAAGGCTCCATACATTAGGAATGATGTGGTTATATAACACTTTGTTGAAGAGTAGAAGTTAAACATGTGAACTAAAGTTGTATGAGTAGAGTATGAGAAAGTGTTTCTTAAGTTAATGGGCAGAAGCCACTAGAACAAAAACCAACAATTACGGATAATTTTGCAAATATTTAATAAAAATATTTTAATGTACATTTTTTTCTGCATTACATATAAAACTTTTTTTGTTTCCACAGAAATTGCGTTTTCTAGTAAGGCACTGGCTGTGCAAACAAAAGGAGCAGTTGCTTTATTTAAAGCATACTGTGCAACTGCAGGTCCAGCACTGCAATTAAAGTGCTTTCTACAACACCAGCGACTCCTAACGTCAAAGAACAGGCTGCCCATATCACTGTGTCCACCAAAATTCTTCCTCCTCTCTATTCACCTTGAGCCACTTCAGTCTGGCAACCGCCCATAATGGCATCCCGCTATGCTGACGTCCATCAGGAGATTGCATCGCAGACCTTGCCTTCCGGTGTAAAACGCCAGTGGGCATTCAAACTTAGACTTGAGTTTTGTTTTACAAGTACTCTGACATTAAAGTTCCAGATGCACTTGAAGACTTGTGCTAGGGCATCGCTAAAGATGAAGAAATATGATCAACTTGACAAAAGAGAAAAGAGTCTAGCAAGAGAAATGGGACTTTAAGAGGAAACACAGCATTCGTGCAAGGAATACTGAAGATTTTAATGAATCTATGGCATAAGTGGCCCATTCCATTAGTGCAGCAATGACCTTAGTTGGGCTATAAATTCTTTTCTGTCCAAATGTAATAAAGTTAAGTGGAGAGGAGGAGGATGGAAGAGGGAGGGAAGCACTATGAGGGGAGGGAAAGAGGGGGACAGTGACTAACCACCTGAAGGTCACTGGGGAGAGATAGGAATTTCAAGGAAGACAACATGGCGCCACATAAAAACAGACAACGATTGGCTTGCTGACAGAGTTCGTTTTTCTTTTTTTTATTGTGTGTGTTTCTTTGGTAAAGTGGTCCAGCAGCATGAACGTCATCCTAACTATTTGTTTTTTCTACTTTTCAACCCCCCAAAATAACAAGCATATAAAGTATGCCGAGGGACATCCGACAATGCAAATGTATTTTAATTTTTTTCAGATTTGTGTCACGTTACAAAAAAGCTGAATCAATCAATAGCAGGCATTTTTGAGCGATTTAAGTCAAAAAGATATATTCTCATGCCAAAAAGATGAATTTATCAAACAGCATAGTGTCTCAAAATGATCATTTTATGAAATAAAAGCATCAAAACAGTAAAACAAAGTAAGTGTTTATATTATGTTTACTTTTTTCCACACGTCTGCATATCTTAATCTGCACATACTTCTTTCTGTTGACACTGTCGAGATGTGAGGCATGGAAAAAAAAGAAAAAAAGAAAAGGTAGGATGACCAGAATTGCAGGAGGGAGGCAAATGAGAGGAAAGAATAACCGAAACAGTGAGTTGGAGATTGAAAAATAGAGCAATTCTTCTTGGGAGAAATGAAGGATAACCAAGCAGTCCCATCTGAATCAATGCAATGGATTTACCTTCGGACTGGAAGGAAGTATGAGGGCAAAAATAAATGGAGCCCAATAAACACAAAGAGCTCAATGAACAGGAGAAAATAACTCAGTGATGGACGAAACACCGGTTTGAACCAAAATGTAATACTAGAAAGGCATGGGAGATACATAGATGTGTCTAGTTTCTATTGGAGAAAGAGGAAAGCCAACACAATACCAAGGAATAATTGCCAAATAATAGCCTATATACCCCATGGCATGAAGATAAATTAAATGTAGAGTATTTATAGTCTGGTTACACCATATATCAGTGTCTAGTGGTTCTATATGTTTTGTAATAGTGTTTACTTTCTACTTGAAATAATCCAGTACATGTACATTACATAAGGGGACAGCTTGCATTGATACTCAAGTATTATTACACAATCAATAAATCTATCTATCCATCTATCCATCTATTTCATGACAATGTTTCTATGTTGCAGGATCAGTACTCTAGATTTTCCTCTCCATAACCACCTCCTCAAGCTCTGAAAGGCGGTATAGAAGGGGGACACCAACAGCCAACCAACAGATGTAAGCTCTCAAGCACGTCCTGACTCCGCCACATCTTCTCCTGGTAGGCGATACCTGTAGAAGGTGCCTGTAAGTATCTTAGTCAGATGTCTAAACCACCTCGACCATGTCCTTTGATATGTAAAGGTACTATAGCAGCTCAATACTGAGCCCCTCCTAAATGACTCCTCATCCTATCTTTAAAGGAGAGCCCTTTCGGAGGAAGCTCACTTCCCCCACTTATGTCCACAAAATTACTCTTTCAGTCACTACCTAAAGCTACTGACTTATTAGTGTAGGAATGTAGATCAACCAGTAAATTGATAGCTTTGCTGTCTCTTCACCACCACCACAGATCCCACTGTACCCCACGCTGCACAGCTCCTCTACTCGAGACAGCAAGTGGAGTGAGCACTGAATGAGCCCTCCACCCATTTCCAGCCAACAACTACTATCTCAAAATTGACTTGCCAATTATCATTCCCACCATATCACATTCAGTTGCAAACCACCCCAGTATGACCAGGAGGTCATTAGTCATTGAATTTAAAAAAAAAAAAAAAAAAAAAACCCACCTCATTCACAAAAAGCAAAGAGGTGATTCTGAGGCCCTCGAGCTAGAGACAAGCCGCTATTTGGCTATGCCTCAAAATTCTACCCATGAAAGTTATGAAGACAACCAGTGACAAAGGGCAGACCTGGCAGAGCCCAAACCCCACCACAAACAAGCCCAACTAAGTGCCAGCAATGCATAGCATGCTTTCACTTAGCTATAGCCCAAAACAAGAGGCCAAATACACAATACTCCTGAAAAAATCCCACAGGACATCCCAGGGGAAACAGTTAGTCAAACTCCCATAAATATCCTTGAGATGATCAAGACCTTTTCCAGTGTTTGACAACCAGGTTGAAACCACACTGTTCCTTCTGAATCAGAGGTTCTAACTAATAAATGGACTCTCCGGAGGATCATCAGGCTCTCATTGTTGTTGCCCAGGTGAGCATGGAGATCCCCTGGAGGGCAACAAAGTCCCCACATGGTGACTCTTACAGCGCCCTGCTCAGTGACTCCAAGAAAGCTTTTCAGCACATAAGCACAAACAAAAGTCAGGACCCATTCCCCAGGCAGAAAGAGCAGGGAGACAACCAACATTAAATCACTTTTTCTTTAACTAAAAAAAAAAAAGATTGCAGTGATCAAGTTCCCAGTAAAAATGTCATACAAATCAAAGCCTCAAGACTTAAAAATACATATGTTTGTGTGAGAAAAAGAAAGAAACTACACACCTGTGATGATGAGGCATTCATTGTATTCAAGAGCTTCAGTAAAGAGGCGAGAGATAATGAGTTCAGGGTTGATAAGGAACCTGATTTCTTCTTGGACCAGTCCATGTCCTGTGACTCCACCACCTACAAACCTGTTGGCAAAGTCCACCTAGTGAAATACAAAAAAAAGAAAAAGAAAAGAAAAAAGAAGGACATTTGTTTGGCCTCAAACTTGAAATTAACATTTATTTAAAAAATACAGATTTCTATTTGGTTTGTTGCATGACATGACATGTACAGTATGACATACTGCCCTTTGACCTATCAGTGCAAATGAGAGAATCTGTGAAATTCTGTCACTGTCACTCCTGTTATTTAAACAAATACTTCAATTAGTGTCTCATTATCTATCCTTTTGTCCACTGTGGCCATTTATATCAGATAAATCTATAACGATCATTGCAATGATCCTTCCTGCATGGAAATAATCCAATCAGGAAACTGTAACAGAACACAACCCATGAAGTCTAAAGATGTACTTCAAATCTACAGTGCATGAATGTGTGCAGATTTTGCACATGTCTGAGTTTTGCATTTTCTAAGAGGCCTCACTATTCATTATCTATTCAGTGTTTATTCAACAAAGAGAAAAAGGAACCGGGCAATAAAAGGTCATTGATGTTCAGCAGTCTGCCAACTTTATCTGCGTTTTATCCCGTTGCATCTTTTATAACTTACTAAAAGTAAAGGACTTGTCCATCTGAAATTTTTAAGACTGAACAACATATTTGAGTTATGTCAAAAACTACAACCAAACCAATTTGACACCAATTCCTAGTGTCACAATCTACAGTCACAAACCCTGAGAATCAATATACAGTCAGGTAAAGAAAAGAAAAGTGCTACAGCTCTGATTCTACAGGCCTCAGCTACCATGTTAAAAATTTAAAGTTCAATACAATAAGAAAAAGACAATAGTATGGAAGGGTTGCCAAGGGAAACCCTCTTCTCTCTCTCTGCAAAGAACATGGCAGCACAGTGTAGGTTTGCCAAGTTGGATCTGAACAAACACCAAGACTTCTTGATGTCCTTTGGAGATGTTTGATGAAACCAACACAGCTTCTCAGCAGAAACACCTCAAACCATGTCCAGCACGGTGGTGGAGTGGTGATGAGTCAGGCTTCTTTTGTAGTCACATGACCTAAATATGTTTTTCAGTCTTAAAAAACTTCAACCCAATCCAGCTAAAAAAACCCAACATATATAATGTGATATAAAATGACCGAAATAACAGTCTGGACTGATATTAATGACATTTTCCACATTTCAAAATCCTCTCTGTTACCCACAAAGTTCAAGATCTACACTGAATAGAGTCCAAGAAATTAAATTTAAAAAAACAGCCCAGGGATTTGTTGAAATAAGATAAAGCCATACCAATAACCGATATGTTTGTGCTTATTTCTAGGACTCATGCTTCTTTGGGGAAGTATTTTCAGTGTGGTGCTTGAGCTTCATGCCATGAAAGACCAGATCTTGTTTTTGTGGCACGCATAAGAGAAAGAGAACATCCAATTCAAATCACAATGCGGATATTTAAACAGCTTGTCAGGGGTGAAGGTTCTGCTCAGTGGCCCACAGCTACGTCAATCTGTGTGACAGTGGGTTTGTGTATGTTTTCTAACCAGCCACTCAACTCCTCACCTTCACTGGTTTACCCCTAACCTCACCCCCCACCCTTCAATCTCACCTCCCGACAGGATGACAGCTCGCTCTGCCCTATCGAAACTCAACACACAACCAATATCCAGCCTGCTGAGGTAGCCATCAATCCGCCTACAGGACTCCAAGCTCACTGGGTCACCCCAGTGAGATGGATCCCCGACGTCATCTTTGTCTCTGTGTGCCTCCTTCTCCCTCATCCCCCACCCCAAGGTCCTCTCCTCCACCCTTGCCACTCGGAGCTACTCATGTGTATACATCAGCTGTCAACTAGAGTAAAATAAATGCGGCAGCTACACAGAAACAACAAGGGGGGTAAGAAGATGGGTGAGTCACTGCAGACAGAGATTCAATAACTTGCATTGATATGCACAAAAATCATACAACTGGTTTAAAGCTGAAGGTCATATTTTTTACTTTTTAAGCAAGAAAAATAGACAGATTGACAGAATCATACTCATTAGGTGTAACCACAGTAAAAAACTGCAGAATACTATTTGTATTTACATTAAAAGAGAAAGATGCTGTTAAGAAATGCTTTTGATATTTTTAACAAGACATGGATGACATGGAAGTATTTAATTACTGAAGTCAGGTAAAACTGTGTGCTTAGTGTGTGGTAAAACATTCCTACCTGGAGCATTCCATATCCATGTTCCTCAATTGTCCCTTCACAAGTGATATGCAGACGTGTCAGCTGAGTCTGAGAGCTGGACAAAAAAAAAGGGGAGAAAAAAAACAACGATTACAAACACTTCAACATTCATGTGCTTGTTTAAGAAATAGTCATCCAGATAACATGTTTAAGTGGAATGCACTACACTGATGTATAAAATTTATATAAACTACCAGCTTAACCTGAGGACTTCTCATCCATATTGGGGCCCTTTACTCTTTCAAATCCACCCTTTAAAAACACTGTCCTACTACTACTTTCATTGTAGGAATTTATATAATGGCAATTATCTGTGCACATGAGCACCAAAGAAGCTATGAGGAGTTGATGGTCACTATCCCACTCAGACAAAATCAGCACACTTCAGAGTTATTCAGGAAAGATTTAGTGAAACTTTGATAGAATTTCAGGGTTTTACTTCCTGTTAAAATAACAATTACTCCCCTACAACAATTATATACCTTCACAGAATGCAGAATATACTATTTGTTTTGGACAGAGTATGCCATGAATCGCAAGATAATTTATTTTAAATGCACTTCATTAGTTCATTATGTTCATAAGGAACCAGAGAAGTAATTATTACCTTTCCCAGTCTGGTGGATTGTTTAGTGTTTGTCTTGTAAATGTAACAAGACCCTTGGGCGCTTAAAAATAAAGCAGACAAAAGGTTATTCAACTGAAAGACACAGCGAAGCGCAACAACTTCTACAACATTATGTTAGTTATTTTCATTACTTACTAGTCTGTGTAACTCTCCTGAAGTAACACAGCAGAGTTTTCAATTTCTCAATTTTTCTTGGTGAAGGACCTTCAAACAACCTGAAACCAAAAGAAAATGTATGTCTGAGTTAAAAACCACTTAATTTAAAACACTACATGAAAAGGTTTATACAACTTCTGAAAAAAAGGAGTAAAATGTACAGTATCTCCCCTTCAAAGTTGTGTCTGTATGCCGTTCAGGCATATAACAGTCTAACAAATTCAATGGTGGCACTTGGCATTATGCGATCCATCCAACTATCTAGTAGACCAACGGGAGGGGATGTAGAAGTGCAAGTCGTCACAGCAACACTTCCACAGCAATGCTGAAAGCATAACCTTTCCAGAATATCTACGATGGAACATGAAGCCAAATCTAATTCAGGTCTAATTTTAGATTTTTATGGGGCAAGTTCCAAAACTTTATAATAGCACCTGTATTTTTGACATTAAATAATGTGTTACATTTTAGAAGATGAGAGGCATGAATGTTTCACTCATTTATTATCTAAAGCTCACTGCACAACAGGAACATGAGTGAAGTCACGCTTTCAAACTGGCATGATGTCTCTCCCATCTACCCTCATCCTTCATACAATGGCACTGCCTGAGGCCCCGTTTCAGTTTTTCAGTTACTATTAAACTAGGGTGGAGGGATGGAGAGAGCATTGGATGGAAAGCTTAAATCACCCCCATTCTAGTACACTCCCTCCATTAAAAGCGACCTAAGCTGATGACTAACCATAGTTCAGCATCTCTCCCTCCCACCACTTTCTGCTCAGACCGGTAAAGAAATAAAAACAGAGGGAACAAATTAAATGAAAAGGTCATTTGCTAAAAGCCTTACTGTGAGTAAAGAAAAAAAGCAATTTATTTAAGATAATTTTTTCATGTCAGTTTTGGTTTTCTCTACACTATTCCTTACACAGCACCTTACTCATCCTCTGTGAACCCCTTCACCCCATCAGTTCCTTTAGTCAGTGTTAATTTGGCATAATGTATCCTGGAGGACAACATGACTATGAGAAAGTGTAAGTGAAACAAGTAAATTACAGTGGGATTTACAGTATAGCCACAAATTATACCACACTTGAGAAAGAAGGACTACTAACTATGAAGGATTTTGTTACAAAATATACTGCAGCAATTTTCATTTAAGGACAGTAATTAGTTGGTTCTTGTCGTCTATAACCGTACCTACTGCATAAAGTGCATATGGAGACAATATTTCTGACAGTTTTGCCATAACCTGTTCAGCTATTTTCTTGCAAACAAGGTAGACCATCTCACAATGACTTAAAAACAAAAACGGGTATTTATTTCTTACTAATGAGCCTTCATTGTTGATCAAACTGTTATTGGAATTCCCTATGTCATTTTCTTCTCAAACCCAGGAAAAGACAAGCCATAAAAAGACAAGTCTTCTGCTTTCTATCCTCTTCCTTGAATCTATCCATCACTTAACAGAGGACAAATCTCGACAGTTCTGCCAAAACAGCAATCAGCAGATTGCTTGCTGCTCTGTTTGCCCAAGACAGAGCGTTAGTGTAACCGATAAGCAAAGTGACGGACACTCCCTCAATTACTGCGAGAAGGGGAGGGCCTGTAACGATCCAGGACCCATTTTAGACTGCAGCGGTTGTCTCGTCTCGTTTCCTCAGAAACACGAAGACTTTTTTTTCCCCTCTCTTGGCCTTTCCTGTATTTTGCTCTAGGCAGAAATACTGACAGTGAAGGCAGACCCAAGTGGTCTGAAACAGCCAACGCTGCAACTGAAATCAATACTTACATCATTACAGACACAGATATCGTGCCCTCAAACAGATGACACACAGATGACACTGAAAGTGCAATTATGGTTTAGATAAAATACGGCAGCTGAAGGTTATATGGACCAAATCAAAGATAATTAGTAGGATGACAGGATTTGTAAAATAATTCTATCGAACCTTAAAGACAGAGCAGATGCATATTACTCTGAACTAGAGGAGGGAGTTATTTGCTGTATAATACTATGACAACTAGAAATATTTAGGCAGATAGCGGGAGACTATGTAAAGCTACAGAGTGGGATCACCAAGTGCTGGGGCGCAAAGTGGTTCCCAACACTCTGCTGACTCAGTAACTACAGAGTTGCAAACCTCCACTGGCACTGACATTAGTACAAAAACTGTGCGGCAGAAGCTTCATGGCATAAGTTTCCACTGTCAAGCAGCTCCTGTAGATGTGATGTGTAGGTGACCAGTACTTTGTCTATATAGTCTAAGATGCATAAATCAAGTTATATTGATATGAATGAGATGTTAGTGCTGTGAATTCAAATCATATTGTGCTTTTATAAGATGATAAAGGGAATAAATATATAGACAGTATAAAAGGTGGATTCAGCCTATGGTTGCTGAAGTCCTGTTTTGAAGATCTCTGGCTCTCTTCCACATTTTCTCTTCATTTACCCTCAACTGGTCGAACCAGATGGCTGTTTTTTTCCCCCACTGTCGCCAAGTGCTTGCTCATAGGGAATGGTCTGATTGTTTGCAGTTTTCCCTGTATTACTGTAGGGGTTTACCTGGCAATACAAAGCACCTTCAGGTGACTGTTGTGGTAATTTAGCCTTATATAAATAAAACCAAATGGAATTCGACTGAAAGATGAAATTGAGTGTTTCTGCTATTGCCTTGCGTCTGACTGTGAAACCGCACACTCTTCGGATAATGACTTGTGATTAACAGTCTATTAGCCAGTAAACATGTGGTTTCATAGCACAGATAAGCCTCCAGTTTTGAAAAATAATATAATGAAGATTTAAAAAATTCAAATGAATTTTTATTCAATATGATCAAAAAAGGAGTGACTGAGGCCATAAACTCAGATCAAAAGTGTTTACAAAGGTCAGATCAGAAAGCCGCTCTTTCGTAGACTTCTACAGGACCAGAAGTCTTTTTTTCAACTACAGCTATCGCCATCTGGTGGCTTTCAGATAGAATGTAGGCTTTTAGGCACTTCTACATTGGCCACATAAATGTTTCACACAGTCTACACATAAATGTTACCAACGGGTCATTTTAACCTGTTAGTAGCTAGTTGCTAGGCAATGTCATGGCATCATAGTATCAGATACAGATAAGAAACATCAGGGGTCAAAAATGTACCTGTGTGCCCATTTTGATTGTTCAACTCCTGAACATGAAAGAGTTGTTTGTGGGCAGATTTTGTGTGTTATGCTAAGATTATTCCATTTTAATAATATCCATTTTCCACCTTTGAATTTCTTTTTCTCCACAGCAAGTTCATTTATTTTCCAATTTATTTTGACAAACACCACCATGACGAGCGATGAACTAGTCACTCTGGTGAGTCAAACTGGCGCGGGAATCCATTAAACGCCTAAAATGAATACAAATGTTGATATTTGGCAGCAGTGTATCAATAAAGCAAGAGGCAGCGTATACAATAAACTGAAAAATGTATTTTGTTCCATCTGGAAAATGACCAGCAATTAGAGCCCATGTAGATAGCAGGGAATGTCAAAATTCATAGCACTAAATGTTCATGTTCTGCAAAGAATATGGGAACTCATTATAAGGTATTACCGAACCAACGCCTTCAGTGTGTCAGGCAACAACCCTAAGGTATTGCAAATGTCACTAATGAGGAGAAAGGGCCTCATGGAAAGAGGGGAAAATTGAGTTGAGGTATTGTCTGGACAGTGTTCAGGATATACAGAGGCACTTACTGTCCAAACATGAAGTTAAAATAAATAAAATCTAATTAGAACTCTGTTACCAGCCATTCTCACCTATAAACAATATGTCAACTTTCTAGCCACTATCAAATGGGGGAAAAATACTTATGCCTATCCGATTCAATTAGCTACCTGTTCATAGTCATCATGTCATAACTTTTCACACTCAGACAAGTTTTGCTTTTTGTAATAGTTTCTTCTGTTCTGTTATACACAAAACTTTGCTTTGCGTCATAATTCATATGTCATCCACAGTTCTTGTCCTGTTTCACATAAATTCTTCTTTCTTGTTACCAATACTCAAAACAAAACATTGGGCAGGAAAACACAACAGTAAAAATCATTTTCAATTCAGATAAACTTCTAAATACACCTCCGGAAAAACAACAGCCACTATAAACAGAAGACGTGACTTAGATAAATGTAACCACATCTGTAATAGGATAAACCAGATCAATGACGTAGTAGCTCATCCAGGTCAAGATCCATCACAATTCACAGGTTACTGTTCATAAAACGAGAAACAAAATTTGGTTGAAAGCCTATTAGGCAATCATTGAGTGCAATAGGAACGAATAGAGAATCTTGTGAATTATGGATGACGGATGCTTCACTGTGACATAAAATCATCGGTCATTAAGCCGAATTAGTTTAAAAAAAATTTTTTATTCTTTTAAGGTGGAAAATTACATTCTCTCCATTTAGGTAGATCTTAAAAAGAAAGTAAGTAAGAAAGTAAGATATTTAGACTGGCAGTTTACTTTAACCTGCTATATCTTTACAATGTCAGCTGTCACCTACACTTCACACCTGGTATGTTCGGAGCAAAAGCACAACAGCACATCACTGTTATAAGTTTTGGGCTATATATTTGCATCACTTCCTTTTTCTTTTTCTTTTTTTTTACAAATAAAGTGACACTTCAAGTTATGAGAAGCCAGTGGCACACAGACAAGCAGACAAGTGTTCACTTTAAAACAGTCTATTATAACAATTTGTTTCCATTAGCTAACCCGGGCTTTCTTAACACACCACTGGTTCTGAGTAGGTTGTAAGAAAGAACTCCAATTTAACACTCCTACTGGGATCTCCCTCCCACGCATGGGGTATAACATGGAGAAAGATCCTCAGCCCACAGCCCCATCCTCAAATCGATAACATGATATTTGCAGTTACACCACAAACTGCAATATAACAACTAAAAACAAATGACAAACCGTGGCTCCATTCATACAGAAATCAGTTCATTGTTTTTCCAACCACTGCAGCCAAGGTAAATTTCAACACTGAATGTGCAAGAAACAACAGGTACAGAAAGTAAGTAAAAACAAAATAATTCATCTATTAAGGGTTTTCAAGGCAGTAGTGCCCCCTGATGGATATTAGTATATTTTGAATGGTAGGATCATTAAAAACAGAGTCGCTCCAAACAATCACACTGAGGCAGATAGCTGAAATTTATAAGAAAAAAACCCCCATTACTGATATGTATTATAGATACTGAGGGACGGATTTGATCCTCACTTATAGGGTAGAACAGCAACAGGGTTCAATCACCTTAGACGTCCTCTGTCCTGCTCTAAATAAAGGTTTACAAAGCAACATTGTGGGCAATAAAGGGGAAAACCTTTTTTTTGTATAAAATACTAATAACAGCAGGCTGCTGGTGATTTCTTTTGTTTTGTGTGCTTTCACCTGTAGAAGTTGATCTCAGGATAATTGCCATACTCGGACTTGCGGGAGTTGCGTCGAGGGAATGTGCAGAAGAAGGCGTTGGCCAAAAGACAGGCTATTTGCTCCTGAGAAAGGGTCAGAGACTGATTCATCCTTGACTTAAGTAAAGGAATTGGCTGTAAATAGAGAAAAAAAACAGAAAAATCAAACAATCCAATCAGTGATTTGATGATACAATGCCAATGCTACAGTGACAAAGCAAAAAGTAAGAGAAGGGATTACAGTAACAAAAACAGATGCAGAAAAAAACAGTAAACACTGCCACAGTAAGTAATATGGGTTTAGTGGAGTAGGCTAAAGAGCTAATGAGGATAGATAATTAGTTTAGCAATCTAGCAAACAGAGGAGACACTGAGAGTTCCATTAGCTAAATGGGTGGTAGCAATTAAGGTCCCAGTTCTCTTGCTCTCCCCCAGGTTTGTTCAGTCAGGCACACAGGGCCCATCCATCTTCACTGATTAAGGCTAAAGAGCCTCCCAAGGCTGCCCAGTTAGCAGATCAATACCAGCTCTAATAACGCACATATAAATATCAGGCTTGACGCTTAATACTGCCAAACAAACCTGAGAGAGTCAGAAAGCTTCATTATTCAATATCTGCAAATAATTCCCTTTAAAATGGAATCTGTAACAGAAACTCCATCCTCTAGTTAAAGTGGATAATACTTAAACCTCTGTCCCTGACTCTCAACGTAAACAGGAACTAGAGGGATTCCCCTATCCCGCAGTGCAAAGTGGGAGCTGAATTCTCTTTATTAAATTATACTGAAGACTGAAATAGATAACGTGATTACAAAAATACCAATCCTTTAATTCTCAGATAGCTAAAATTGATGACAGAAGAGGGAAACAAGGACAAATGGACATGACATTTAAAAGGACTCTGACATGGATCTCCATGTAATGTGAACTGCAAAAAGGCCTTCTGGGGTTCAAAGCGGCCAATTTCAAACCCGCACTACCAATGTGTCTTGCTTGGAACAGGAATACTTGTGAAAATCTAAAGCGATAGACTGCATTTTGAAATTCAGAAGTCCCAACTTAGTGCACCAAGTTCACAAAAAGTAAGTGGAGTTTCCTAAGTGCAAAAGCATAGCACATGAAATGGATGGCAGAACATGGACCTCTCCTCTCCCAGTCCTCTTTTCTAATGAAGCAGTTCCTGATATGGACCAAAGAGTTGGATTCATTAGCTGCGAGTTGTAACTCATAAGTTGATGCACCATCTAACCCGTACTGCTAACTTACCACACTTTTATTCGTCTTCCTGCATACCTCAAACACTGCTACTTTCACTAGTAACGCCTCACCTTTACACATTTCCAAAGCCCTTAAAAATAGATAATTTGGTATAAATACAGACAACAATCAATACCTACCATTGTGCACAGCCGAGGAGCTCTAAGTGCAAGATCAACCATAGCAGGTAGTACGGTATCAAACAGTTGCTGTACCTCACAATGCTCAAGACACTGAAAAGACAAAAAAAATACATGTAAGCTTAAGTATTGATAAATGAGATATGTGTCGAGCTGACTGCCTACTTAGGCAGTCAGTTACTCGGAGCCAGCAGTCAGAGTGACTGATTATATGTAAGTTGACATATTGTTTTGTCACACCACAGATTTCTCTTAACAAATGGAGAAAAAAAAAAACAACTTTTTGTTATTTATTTAAGAATCAAACCAGTGCTTGTTTTTGTGCTTTACATTTTCTGCTCATTGACTTGAGCATGATTTTCACTTGTTTTTGTCTAAACAAAAAACAAAATCTGTCTTTTTTTATGTATAAGTACAAGCTTAGAAGCTACGTCTTCATTTCTTGCACTTTAAAAACTTTCAACAAATATACTGGAACAACTCATTCATGTAATAAATATGAGTTTTAACATCAATCCATCCATTTTCTTCCCCTTATCTAGTTCAGAGTCCAGAGGGGCTGGAGCTTATCATAACTGCCCAAGTGTGAGAGACAGGATACATCGTAGCCCGGTCGCCAGTCTGTCACAGAGCTAACAAGGACAGACAACCATACACATGCGAATTCATGCACAGGGCTAATTAAGGCTCAAATTAACCTAAACCCACATATGTCACACATTGTTGATGTGTGTTGAATTTTATAAAGAAAAGAAAAGAAATTTTCCACGCATTGCTTTCCTCATTGAATATTAACAAAAGAAATGATGCACAGGTTTCATGCAATTAAAAAAGAGCCATAAATTATTCCTTGTTTTGTGCATTTGTTGTTCATTTTCCCTCAATTTTAAATGTGCCATTTTTTAAGGTTTAGTATTGTTTTCTTAAGCCCAGGACCCAGGATGTAACTGAAAATCTGAGGATGATGATGGTCTAAAAACAGCTTTACAGCAAGTCAGAGGTCATACACCCTACACCAGTAAGCAATATCTACGCAATTTTCTCTCATATCCAACAATAAAAACTCAAGTTTCAGTTTATTGTTGTTATAGGATGAACTCCCACTACTCAGATATCAATAATACTTAAACTTCACCGTTAAAAAAAAAAACACAGAAACAGAAATGCTGCAGAGGTGTTCACTACACAGAACCCTTTTCCAAAGAAACTACCATCAATCTAGGAATGAGCTCGCCACAGCTGAGGCATCCATACTTCAGCTTGAAGCTTACCTCAGCATCCATCTGCAATTCCCCCTAAAATAAACACCCAGTTATTCCATCATACGCCCCAGATTTACAACGCAATCATTTATGAGTGTATTGGCTTCGAATGTCACTGTCATCAATCACATGCCTTATTCTATCAAGGTAAGCAGGGGAGCTTGTGCTGATTAAATGGATCTTCTGGGAGCAAATGCAAATGACCAATTGTGGAGAGAGTGGCAGGGTGGCTTGATTTTCCACAGGAAGTCTTTGGTGGTTGATTTGGCCAGGGGCATTTATATGGCTGCAGAGCAGGTCTGACTAAATGCTGTCAGGAGTAATGAGCTGGCAGACATCATAAAGCGCTCCTGTGGGACTAATAGATGGTAGCTGGTGATGCGGCAGGATGAGGGCAGAAAGACAACCCTCCCCCCCTTTCCACAGCTAGAGCAGCTCACCACAAGGTTAGGGTGGACACACAAACTATACATTTCACATCCATAAATATGACAGACCAAGTTTCATCAGGGCAGTCAGGATTTAGTGCTTCATAGCATAGTGATCGATTAGACATTGATCTTCCATACATTCTAGTCTTTACAAGTCATTTTAATTTTCTGGTAGCTCAACCTTCACAACTCTTGATTTGACTATTTAATTTACAGTTCTTCTAAGGGTGTTTCCCCAATACATTTAGTGTCAAACCCTGACATTTCAAGGCATTTTTAACAGTGAGAGAGACGGAAGCAAACAAGCAAGCAACAGGGCACAAAAATGAGAGAAACAGCCTTGTTGTCTTGCTGCTATATATGTTTGTGTACTGAAACATCACCTGTACTGTACTCCTGGACTGGGTTTGTGCTTAGCCCTCAGACATTCGTCAGAAAATGACACAGTGACAGTTTCATTTGGCAGAGGAGAAACACTAAGACAATTTACAGACAAGCCCTAATTTGGAAACCTCTTCTTTTTTTTTTTACCTTATGGCTATTACATGCTGAGCGGACTGTCAGTCACAGGCCCAGGGGCAACGTATCCCTTCACTATTTTACCTCAGTGATACAAGATGTTGCACCACTTATAATTAGGTTGTATTGGCTTAGAAGTTCAGTGGTTAGCATTCATAATGACCACAAAAAATAAATATGACACTGAAAACTGTTATATCAATCAGCTGGTTTGGCCACTGTTACAGAATGGCTGACCGTGTGTTTCTTCACAACATTAGAGTGTGCATAACAAATAAATCGCTTTGCATGAAACAGGTCTGCCGTAGAAAGACAGCTGTTAATCATTTCTGCTTAAGTGTTGTCATGAAGGTCTGAATGCTTGATACTAGTCACAGCCAGCAGGTGTGCTGTACCTACGTCTTTCTATTCAAGAATATTCAGTGGGTGGATTCATCACTTGGCCAACTGTTGCTTATGTCAGCAGTCCCCAACAACCAGGCAACGGACCGGAGTCGTTTGGTATCGGGCTGGAACCAGTCCGTGAGTCGTTTGGTACCGGGCTGCGAGAGTTGAGGCTCGGGTGTGAAATTTATGGTTTTCAGGGTTTTTATTGATTTATTTTTTAAACGTTTTTATCGTTAACTCTGTTTCCCTGGGTCTTTTCCCATGTGTTATAAATAAATCTTCCTCTTTTTTTGGGTACCAGCACTGGTTTTATTTTGTTGTATTTATCCATGACACCTTAAAGGCCGGTCTGTGAAAATATTGTCGGAGATAAACCGGTCCGTGGTGCAAAAAGGGTTGGGGACCTCTGGCTTATGTAATCAAATTCTGGTTTCTACTGTATCATTTAAACACTGGTTTGTCCTTCTCTAGTGAGCGCCGCTTGCCTTTATAAAATGTCTTTGGAACATAAAAATGACAAAAGTGGGGGAATTGCTGGCGAGCAGGCAGTTGGAGTTGCTGATGAAATTGCTTCCGGGAAGAGCAACTTACTGCCTGGCCTTACTTAGCATCCTTACAGACTTAATGGGGGCTTTTAATTAAATTGGATTAAGCTATAAAAAGGCTTAGACAGCTATTGATCTGCCAAGCTTTCTGGCTTACTAAGAAAATATTTCAGAGAGAAGGAAAAAAACAATTCTGAATGGGATAAATTTAGCTGAGTAATCCACGATGAGAGGGAACAAGCATTAGGTTTAAATAACAATTTGGCTGGACTGTGCCGGATATCACAAGCACTCACTTAATTCTGAACACTGCATTGTTATAACGATTCTGTTCCTAATTGATATACCCAGGAAGAATTAAAGAATAAAACAAATGCTTCTAAATGCTAAACATAGCTATAAAATTAGGCCTCAAATTGAATTTGCTTTGCCATCTATCTTTAGGCTCTTTTGGGTGGTGGTCTAGTTAAAATATAAAGTTTCAGCCTGTGCAGTAGATTAATAAGTAATAAAGATCATACTTTATCTACAGTCTCTAAGGAGAGAAACTCTGTAAAAGGGCTGACACTTTAAAAAGTTATCTTGTAAAATTGAATGACAAGAAATCATTGCCCCATGTCTAAAAATGTTATCCTCATAACACGTGTGCAATTATAGCCCCTAACTGTCTGAAAAGAGGATAAGAAGTGTTTAAAAAGATAAAGAGGAAGACAATAAAAAAGAAGACATTCCCCTGGTTCACCTGAAACAGCTGGTGCTGCTATGCTCTGTGCTCATCTGTCCTAAATGTGCTCCCGGGAGACTCACAGGTACCGTGAGGGGATGACACACACTAATGGGCTTACAGTCAAACAAAGACAAGCAGATTCCCTTTGCGATAACAACTTTACTTTACTATCAGCTTTAGATTCATTCTTCATTAGACTAACATTTAACCAGATAATCATGGTGCCTTAAATTTTGCTGGGACTTACAAGTCTACAAGGCTCAATCAGATTCAAATAAATCTTTATAAGTTTTTTTTTCATGGTAAAGATCTTATAAAAGGATTCTTAGGCCTGCCATGTTCAGCAAACATGTCTGTACAGGACAAGTTGTTGGAATTAAAACATTTTCAGTAGTCCATTAGGAAGTTGTGCTAATATTATGCCTTTTCTTTTGTACAAGACAAGCCCACAAACATCAGGTAACAGTCGTATACTGAACATCATACCTCTGTACAAAGAAGGTTCAGGGCAGTGAAGTCCCATTTCTTTGCATGGGCTGTGTTATACCTAAGGATTGCATCCTGAAGAGAAGAATGAGAAGTTAGAAGTCAGACTAAACACAAAAAGTACAAATCTGGTTTTATAAATGGTGTAAACTACAACTGATGCAAACTCTGCCACCATGTGGTTGCTTATGGAATACGATTTGTATCTTTGCCATTGCTTTCACAATATAATTGGAAACAAATATGCCCAGAAATTCTTCAATATTGTGTAAACCACTTAAAAGCCTACTGTGGTCATTTGTTTGGCAACTCTGGCAACACAAATTTTTTCCGCTTTTTGAAACAGTTTACTGGAGTGTAAGCGTTTCAGGGTTTCAACTGCTTGGTTTCCATATTTTAGGTTTGACTAACCAGTCTCTCTGATCTCTTACCCTCACATCCAGACAACTTTTGAACCCCCTCTGCAAAGCAGTGCGGATCAGGTCCCATCGACTTTGGACGCCATTTCCATCCTACACAACATTAAAAAAAAAATAATAAATACAAACTTTTCTTACGTCAGTGTTCTTGCAGTAATTAACTTTATTGTACTGAAATGGCATGTCTGGATGGAGGGATGCTATACAACTATTATACCTCGGTCTCCATAGGAAACAGATTCTTCTCAGAGCAGGGCATCTTCACTGACAAATCATCCCATGCATCCTTGAACTTGGTAGGGTATGGGACAGGGACTTCTCCCTCCCTGAGGAGATCTGTCTGTAACAGGGAAATAAAAATGCAAGGGGAAAACATGTTCTTTACAGGTAACTGTTGTTTTTAGAGAAATTATGATGAAATTAACTGTTTTCCCTTTGCTCATTAAAAGAATGTCTTTTGGTTTAGCTTTAAAAGCCCCTGAAAGTTAAGAGCACAGCTTGGTAGATAGTGTAAAACATTAAAGAATAAACTAAAATTTCTATATAGGCTTATCTTGTATAAGGTTTTTTTATTGCCTCACACTAAAGGTAAACGCATAGAAAATAAAAAAAAATACAAGCATTACATATTTTCAAGTCATACATTTCTTTGATGCATAATAAACTAAAAGACAACCAGTTTTCAGTGTACACATTAGATCTAATTAAAACATTAATTACAAATACATTTTCATTCTTGGAATTTAGTGATTGGCAGCATCTAGTTTTTGTGGCAGTGTTTGGTGATGGTAAGAGCAAGTTGTAGCAGTAAAGCAGCACTGACTATGTCCCTGTAGGACGAGCAGTAGAGGATAGTCTGATAGGACTGCTACTGACAAGAGCCCCTCGGGGGATCGTGGAGGACGGCTTCACTCGGCCCAGCACTGTCTCTCTCATTCTCATTCACCCTGTCTGCATCTCAAGAGCCATTCTTTACATCATCTTTGCCAATCCTCCCAGTCTTATTTTCTCTTATATAAACACATTTCATCAAGCGATGATACACATTCACCAGACACTTTATTAGGTACACCTTGCTAGTACTGAGTTGGACCTCCTTTTGCCTTCCAAATTGCTTTAATTACTGTAGCATTGATTCAACAAGGTGCTGGAAATATTCCTCAAACATTGTGGTCCATGTTGATATAATAGCATCACACAGTTGCTGCAGATTTGTCGGCTGTACAGCCATGATCCAAATCTCCTGTTCCACCACATCTCAAAGGTGCTCTGTTGAACTGAGATCTGGTGACTGTGGAGGTCATTTGAGTACAATGAACTCATTGTGATGTTCAAGAAATCAGTTTGAGATTATCTGAGCTTTATGACACATTGATGCATGATGCATTATCCTGCTGGAAACAGAAAGATGATAACCTGTGCACTGTGATCATTCAGAGATGAAAAGATAAACTTAGTCAGCAACAACACTCAGGTAGGCTGTCATGTTGAAACAATCCTCAGTTGGTACCAAAGTGTGCCTAGAAAATATCCCATAGACTATTACAACCACCACCAGCCTGGACAGTTAATACAAGGAAGGATGGAGCCAGGTTTTCATGCAGTTTAATTCAACTTCTGAATCTACCACAGTACAAATCAACACTCGTCAGACCAGGCAACGTCTTTCCAATCTCCTATTGGATCATTTTAGTGAGCCCATGTTAACTGTAGCCTCAGTTTCTTGTTCTTAGCTGACAGGAGTTGCACTTAGTGTGGTCTGTTGCTGCCGTAGCCCGTCTGCTTCATGGTTCAACATGTTGTGTATTCAGAGCTGCTCTTCTGCATACTTTGCCTATAACAACCGGTTATGTGAGTTACTGTTGGCTTCCTATGAGACTGAAGAACTCTGGGCATTTAACTCTGACATGCCATTATTAGCCAGAGAACCGCCACTCACTGAATATTTTCTCTTTTTCACATTATTCTCTGTAAAACCCAGAGATGCCTGTGTAGGAAAATCCCAGTAGATAAGCATAAGTATTAAAAGACTGAAAGAGTGAGACAGTAACAAAGGAAGACATTCCCCTGGTTCACCTGAAACAGCTGGTGCTGCTATGCTCTGTGCTCATCTGTCCTAAACGTGCTCTCGAGAGACTCCCAGGTATCGGTGAGGGGATGACACACACTAATAGGCTTACAGCCAAACAAAGAAATGCAGATTCCTTTTGCAATAACAACCTTAGTTTACTATCAGCTTCAGCATCATCCTTTATTAGAATAACATTTGAACAGATAATTATGGTGAGTTCAACAAAATCTGCCTCATAGGTTAACAAGGCTCGGTAGTCAGCAATGTGATTTAAATAAATTGCTTTATTTCTTTAAGAGTCTTTTTTTTTTTCAAAGTAATACTTTTGAATTACAAATATTAAAGCATGTTGGATGGAAAACATTTTTTAAATTCCCCATAGCCAACATTCATGCCACGTTCAGATTCACTTAAATAACCTTTCTTCCCATTCTGATGCTTAGTTTGAACTTCAGCAGGTCAACATGCACATATCTGTATTAGCAAATACAAAGATCCACAAAAGAAGAAGTGGCTGTTGACTCACCCTGACTGTGACAGTGTGATGAGGTGCTGATTTCAGGTGGGACAGAGGAGGGGCACACTGGGGTAGTCTGTTCAGCTCATCTATGGGCGTCCCCTGCCATTTTGTCTCAATGTTATGTGATGGGCATGAAACACTATACAGAAAAAAGGCAGAACAGGTAAGCAGAGAGCAGATTAACTAAAGGACATTATGAATATAATGGCACTAGGGCACAAAAAAAAGTTGTAGTGAAAATCTTTCCAAGGACCTTTGCAAAATTGCATCTGGCTGGCTTTCAATTAAGTCCTGGCTCATATTAGATGACCCACTGTGGTCTGCTATTTCAGCATCCTCGGATCCGATTGCAGGAAGATGTTCTCTTTCTTTGGTTGAACTTCCTGGATCAGAGTCTTTGATAGTCTGCTGAGATTCCATTACCTGAGCCTTTGCAAAGGCAGAGTGCTCTGCACAAAAACCTCCATCACAATCCTGGTCTGCAGAGTTGTTGAACATGGTTTTACAGACTGGACTATCAGGACTGAGCATCTCCACATCAATGGGGGTACACACTGGGTTTTTGGAACTAAAACTAAGACAGGGATGGAGTTTTGTATTGGTAGTGTGTGCAGCAACACAGGTTGTCTTAGAGGGGTGAGGACCTGGTGAACTGGGCCTCTTAGATTTCTGCCCATTAGAACACTGTGTTGGAGCTGTGTTACTTTTGCTGCATGTGAGCACAGCTTCATCCGTGTCACCTGCAGACGTACAGTCCATCAAATTCTGGGAAGACACATCATCATGTGTGTTCTCTGTTTGTGCACTGTATCCTGTAGCGTCAGACGTTTGTGGTTCAAAACAGAGTTCATCTCTTTCATCTGTGAGGTTAGTTTTTGGAGCATCATTCTTTACATCTTCTTGATTAACCTCAGCATTTAAACTGCTGCAAAAAAGAAAGAAAATAAAACATAAAATATACTTATATCATAATCACACATTTTCCATCAATATGTTCTTTAATTAGCAGTACATTGGAAATTAATCATGCAAGACCAAGCAAACTGTTAACTTGGATACTTTACCTCGTTTGAGAATCCATAACTTCATCCACGTTTAACACGTCATACAAGACTAATCCGAACCAGCTGTATTAGAGAGAAAGAAAGTAAATATGCTGGCACAGTAAGAAAAGGCAGTTTATATACACTCATCATTGGCATGTCAGGGTAATTTGAGGCTTTTAATGGTTTCTTTGAACTTTTCCAGGGTGGCATGATTGTGCAACAAGATAATCACTTCAAACAACTGTACATAAGTACAAGTTATGCGGCTGTGTGTTTTCCAGCATCTGGAAATGTACTCAAAGTTTTAGAGAGGAATTGGTAGGATGTTGTTCAGTGATAACCCTGGAACTACAAAGGCTAAGCCTCCCGTGAAGTGTCGACTACTGGAACGCCAGCATCAATGTCCACATTGACAATACCATGGACTGGAGGAGTATCTCCATATACTTCAACTTCATCTCAAATCAATAGCTAACTAAAAAAAATAATAAGGTGTTTATATATTTGAGCTTGTATATATACTTTTGACCAGGTGTGGATTAGAAAAAAACAAATTCACTTCATTTTCTGCACCCAATTCTTGTATTTTAAAGCGATTACAGATTTATGTTGTACAGTAGTTAAAAGAACTGTTCAAAGAAATCCTTACAAACCAGAAATAAACATGACATCCAGCCTTCGTAAGCAACAACATAGAAACAATAGAAATACACTGGTCTTGGTATGTATAACTGGACTTCTAATACAGTGAAATACAAACTTTGTTTATTCCTAGTACCGGGTGGAAGCTACAGTAAGACCTAAATAGGTGTTTTGGTCCACTTATTACATTCTGTGACTTCAGCGAAGATGGTCGTAGGTAGATGTTCACAGTAAGTTACAGATTCAGTTCATTTTACCTGTATATATGTGCATTAATTACAGACAAAGACGGCACACCGCGAAAAAAACGCACAGCTGACAGCTCCAACAAAGCTACGACGAGCTGGCCAAGCATATTTTCTTCATTTGACACGTCACTTTCACGCTAAAACGACAGATTTTTCTTTATCTTACTACCCTGAGCGCACTGCAAAAACACAGCATCTTTAGCTAACTTAGCTTTGATTGGCTATAAATGCTGAAGGTTAGCCTCGATTACTGTAGCTCGGATTAACCTATATAAGCTAACAGTGCGGTCGTCATTCAAATAAAGAAACGTAACTTACAAGCTTGTTCCTTGTTCAAGGGTTTTAAATATAAACTATTTTTCTCCACATTATTCACTTTCACTTCGAGAGGCTTATTCTTCTTCTTGTGCCTTTAAGGGCGGATAGCACACCAAATTACAAGTGCATTGCCGCCACCTGCTGGACCGGTGTAAATACACGTAATGCTAAGATGGTAAATGAAAGAAATCTGTCAATGTGACTCTCGAGGATTTAACTATAAGAAATAAATGTGTAAAATTACATTGCACAGGCTTTCCTGTATTATAAAACAATTAAACATACAATTAAACAATATAAAACAATATTTGTTAATTTGCAGATTTTTTTCATCTTTATTTCTATAGTAGATATAGCAGGAAAAAAGATGTTGCATGAATGGCCACAGAGGAAGTCTTTATCAGTTGGAAAAGCTGAAACATATACAAAAAATATAATAAAATATGCACCACCTATGCTCAAATTTATGCCCTGCTTCACATTTTCCAAAGTCTAATGGGTCCAACTGGAGTCTTTACTGGGGCGATTCTTGACCCTTGGGCCCTAAGGGTTTTAAATCCTTACTTCAGATTAGTATCGAAGTAGTAGTAACTCTGTTTTGACCAAGAATAAAAAGTTGGCTGTTTATCCATTTGTCAGTTTGTGCTTTCAAAGAACATGATTTGTGCTGTCATTGTGATATTTGAACCCAAACATGAGTAAAAAGTCAGAGAGCAATGCAGAAGCTGCAGACCTTTTCCTAACTGAAAAGAAGCATGCACAATGCTGTTTCTTCAAGCTAAGACTTAAAGTTTTGGAGCTGGAAGTTTGATGAAGTACATTTTTTCATCATTTTACCAAAGCAAATGTTATTAAGGCTGTCAAATGGTTCTCTGTCACAAAATTTGTGTGCACAAGCTGGTTATAACTGCCACAGTGACGAGGAAATAAAAAACTTGTGCAACAGCTGAAGACGAGGAAAACTGAGACTCCATCAGCAGGGAGGCCTAGCACGAACATCCAGTCTACAACTCCACCTGAGAGGAGAGACAGAAAAAAAGGAAAATTCCCCATTGCTTGGACCATTACACACAGAGCCAGCCTCTCTGATCAGATTATTCGGGCGGCTGGTGCCAACAGTTCTCTTGCTCAACCAACAGACCACAGCAAAGTATTCTCAGGGTGATTCCAGCTTTTTGGGGTTTTTTTTTTTAGCTCCAACAACCAGCCTGTAGGGGCTCATGGGAAATTATAAAATCAAAAATATAAAAAACCTTGAAAACCTACATATTGTATTTATGAATTTTACTGCTGCAAACAAAATATTATTTTATTAATATAAAAAAATTATATATTTATTTAGGCATCTCACTTAAAATTTAAACACTCAGGTGTTGTCTGAAAAATATGAACCAGAATTTAATGCATAATCATGACATTTTACATTTATGCTGTAAAAAAAACACAAAAAAAACTGTTATGCTAATTTTGACTGACGTTCAAACAGGTTTACACAGAATACTTGATGTTATCATGATTTTCATACAAACTATGTATGAAGATATGGATATCTGACTATGTATCTATCGATCTATCATCTATCTATCTATCGATTGATCGATCGATCAATAGATTGATAGATCCCTATGATTTATTGAAATGTCATTTCTGTTGCTCTTTTTTCATTTAACAGTCAGTGAAACAAATTTGATTTAATATACATGAGGTACAAAATAATACTGAGAGTGAAAAAATACAAAATTAATAGCAGTCATTGTGACAGGGAAATGCTTAGTGTCAGATTTCTAAGGCATCAGCAGAGACAGTTATTGCTTATATCCATGGGATGGTAACAGAAAGCAGGTCTGTAGGTTGTGCTGCAGGTAGGTACAGAGCTTCTCTACAGTGCTTCTTAAGAGAAAGGCTTGACGATCTTCATGGAGATATAATTCTGCAGAGAGAAAAAATGGGCTTTTTAAATGCTGAATTAAATTCAGTATCCAAATATCCAAAGTGTTTTAGACAAAATACTTTAAGGGTTCTGATGGACACAACAAACTTGACTTCATTATCAGCAAAATGAGTGAACTTACGGGGAGGGAGTAGAAAAGGATCCCAAGGAACAAGAGTACAAGCAGGAGAAGAACTCCTAAAATGAAAATCCACTTGAATCTGCGCCACACTATGAACTTCATGGTCTTGCAAGGATTTGTAAACCAGAAGAACGAAGTGTCAGGGCGGCTGTTAGAGAATAGAGACACACAATTATTTTTAAATTAAGTATATTAATGTAAAACAGTTATTAATTTTTCTTTGGAGAGACATATTTTTACTTGGGTGGTTCCAGTCTGGGATTTATGTTGGGCTCTTCTCTGCCTTTCCCGGCTGGCTTTTCCTCCATCTCCTTCTCGTCCACTATTTCCAGTGTCATCTCAACTTTTCCCTGCAAATTTTTAAAAAACGAGGCCTTAAACAGGATCCCACAAAAATAACACATTTAAAAAATATGACAAATAAGTGTGCTGGAGACATGAACATACACCAAGTACAGGTTTTCCACCCTGCTCAATTGCACATGGCCACCAGCCTCGCACAGACTTCTGGGAGAAGAGTGAGGTGGGCTGTGATGCCATCATTCCTTGCAACATCTTCAGGCTGCACTTTTCTGGGGTCTTTGCAGGAGGGATGAGATTCAGTAAGTCCAGCTCAATTGACCCTGCAACATAAAAAATATACACGTCTTTCTGTGACAAAGCTGCAGAGTATATGTTATAGCAGTTGGCTCTTTTTAAGGCATTTCCTTCAAAATTTGGAATACTGTTTCACCTAAGTAGTCATCCAGGGAGAATTTGTCATTATCCCATATCTGGATGATCAATTTAGGAGGAATCCTAAATTCAGTTTTGTCCAGATTCCAAAAATGCTCCTGTATAAAAGATAAAAATGTATTTCATTTATTCAAATTATAACTGGTTACATTATTAGCAAGGAATAAATTGGGGTTTTGTTGCTCATCCATGGCTTTACACACCTTTCTAGAGACAACACACAGCTGCTCTGCAGGTAGGTAGTCAAAGCCAAAGATGAACCTCCAGTTGAAATTTCCATCTCCATCCAGAGATCTGTAGTGGACATCAGTCTTCTGCTTGTTGTCCTCCATTCCTGGCATCCATCTAAAGAACAAACAAAAGCAATATGTCGCCTTCTTGTTGAACACAGTACAAGTGCAGAGTACAAATAAAGGATTAAAGTGAGAGACGGGACATTTAATATACCCTTTAACGTAGATGTCGCTCATGTTTTCTCCAGTGATGCTTCGTTCATCCAGAGTGACATCACTTGTGTTCCAAATGACAGCTCGCAAGAAGTACCTGTTTCAAGTATGCAATTATATTTCACCCCTTGGTGCATTACGTTAAGATATATGACTATTTTGTAAAGAGTTTCTTACTTCTTAGCTTTGCGTGGAGTGATTTCACACGGAGGCCCGGGCAAACCGAGCCTCTTGGGGAAAATGTCTACCCACATCTGAATTCGTCCCTAGATTTTTGAGAAAAGGGTTAAACAAAGCACAGCACATAACTAAGTTGCTCAAATCAAAATGCATGAATGAGTGTTAACCTGTGATAGATTTGGTTGGTGGGAGCTGAATAGGGTCCTGGTCTCTACATGCTCTTGTACCAATCCCTGGTCTCTGAGGACATGCAGCGGCAGCCTTTCTCTGGCCGGGCCCAAGTGCTGATGTTGTTGTACAGTGTTGCCCTCTGCAAAGAATGCAGTCAGTGTTAATATCACTGAGAAAGCCTCCAAAGTAGCAAGGCAAAAAACAAACAGGACACAATTAAAACAACAATAGAGACAGCACACTCAATATGTGCTATGATAACAGGACTTTCAAGAATGGCTATACCAAATTCCTGCAGGTGGTATTCTCTTCCTGCGAAAGACAATGAGCTTCCATCACCCTCTATGCGTGGATTAGGGACGCCCCGTACTTTAGCCAGATTTTGGAGTATCTGAGAAGGCTTCAGCTGATCTCTCCACTGATTGATCCCAGATCTGCAAGACATTCGAACCGATGTTGATGTGTAACATCTCTTTTGATCAAAATGACTGGATACAAACAAAGCAGAGCTACAAAATTGTAGACTTAAGAAAATAAACAACTGAAGTGCACTTAAAGTACATACTTACACACAGTAAGTCTGTGGCAGGCCACAGCTAGGCCTGAAACGAGAGAGAAGCCTGTTTTCCAAATCGATGACTGTCTCACCCACTTTTTCATCTCTGCTCAGGAGGTCATAGTCATACACAGAAATCTTCAGATCCTTGTCTTGAGGCAGGAAGCAGGATAGCTCAAACATCCTGGAGAAAAGTATTTGAAATGCTTGAGTTTTCACTGTAAAATAATTAAATATCAAAAATTATTTTTTTTAAAAACAAAACATCTCAACAGCATCTCACCTTCCAAACACAGGATTGAGGGTGTTAGGTTTGTAGTTATCTCTATCATCCACTGTTTTCCTCCCCAGCATAATCTTAATGTACGGGTCGCACTGAACGGAGAATGGATAAATAAATAATGTTGAAAGTATTCATCTTTTTCACAATTGTGATAAGCTGTGAGGTAAAATGTGCACAGGATTAAAGCAACATGGCTTATCAGCTGCAGCTTCATGTATGAGACGCACCATGCCGTTTGTATCCTTAGGCTGCAGGTCAGTACAGGACACCACATATATTCTGATCAGGCACTCCTGTGGTCCACTCTCAGGAAGCTCTCTGAACTGCCGAGGTGGCGCTGGCACACCTGGGTCATCAGGCAGTGGGTAAATCTTGAATGAGCCCTGTACACCACCAAAGAGAAAAGCATTGTTAGTTAAATTAAAAATGCAGGTTTCTCCAATGGCATCACAAAGATATCAGGGTTGTTGAAGAAATGCTTTAGGGAAGCTCAATTCAGGGACTTATGGACTTACTTATTTCCTCACTAGTATAGTTATAGCCTCTTTAGGCCTCTTTGGCCAGGGATCACTTATTGTTTCAGGCAAACCTGTTAATCTTAGTGGAGCCACCATCGGTTCCACCTTAAATTATTGTTTTAGTTTAACTGCAATTCCTAAATTG